TACCATTTCACAGTAATTATATAATAGCTCAGATTTTAAATTCTTTCTTAGACTCAAGGGATCTACAACAGGCTGCGTAAAAAGCAGATTTTTTTTTTTTTTCAGAATGAGCGCTGTTTATCAGGCATTAAATATAGCTGAATTAAAAGAAAGAATTCGCTTTTACGTATCTTACCATAGTTACAACATAATTAATCAAAGTTTCAGAAGGATGGGGCGGAACAGATACTACACGTCAGTTCCAGCACTAATTGAATGAGTCTGTGACGTCTGGCAGCAGTGTTTCTTCCTGTAATCAGTTTAGTGATTCTGTGTTCGAGACTGTGCGGTGCCATTGCTTGGATCAGATGCTGTTTGAGCTGCTTCGGGAGAAGATGCTTCCTAATACTTCACCCAGATGTAACCCAGATTTATATCAGTGCCTACGTATTCCAAAGAAAGCACATTATCACAATGACACAAAACGCTACGATACTTTTGATAAAAGTGCAGTGCTGTGATGCAGAGATGATATCAGATGGTAATACCAAAGTACTGAGTAGGGATATGCTAAACTACTTGTTTACAAAATCTAAGGGCTTAAAGGAGCCTGTATAATTAGGGTCCACCTAGTCTTGTGTAGCCAGATCTTCAGACTGATGGCAGCTTTCATTGGCCAATGACTGTCCAAGAGACCGTCTGACTCACATGTAAAGCAACCAATCATAGTTTGTTTTGTTGAGTGTCATATTTAGGGGTGTGAAATTGTAAAGTTGACGTCGCTACAATAACAGACCAGCGTGCAGCCAATACATCATTCATTCAAGAACATCATCTTCAGTCATCAAGAGTCTATGCAATGAACTTCACATACTTTTGAAAATCCGAGTTTAGTTGATCCCAATATCCGCTCACTGTCACAGTTGTGAATGCAATGGCTTTCTTCTTTTTTCCAGGTGGATCGTTAAAGAACATGACACACACATCTCCTGGAAATCCTGGAAATTAATCCAATCAGATGACTACTTCCAAAAGTGTTTCCCATTGTGTGTGTGTCAGACGTTCAGCCAACGTGGGTGCCTGGGCATTACGTCTGAGGTGGAGACTAGGGTCCACTAGGCCTGATCAGGCACAATTCTTATGCGCTATTTACACAGGCCACTCTTTTTCAAAGAAACATTTATTTTTTTTTTTTTTTGGAATTGGAATTTGTTAGAAAACTGCTGCTTTGAAGTTACAGAGCATGTTTTTGTGTGCTGACAGTTACTAGATAACTCTAGATGAGCCATTCTACCTTACTAATCAATTAGATGTTTTTTTTTCTGTGACTACTCGACTATATTTCACATCCCTAGTGTTGAATGATTACCATGTTGTAGCCATGATATTTGCATGAATACTCCAGGCAATTTCAGAGAATATCTGGGTATTAACTTGGTACATGTACAAAATGCGTACACTACTATTCATAAGTATGGTATATAATTTGAGTTTTTGCCTCACTAAAAATACACCTCGCTGCCCAGTACACACACAAATACACACATATCCCCCCCTTCCTCCAAAACAACACACACACACACACCTCAAAAACATTGTTTTTCATGTCTGGGGCTCTGGGCCAAATCCCCAGTGTACAGCAGTATGTTTCAGAGAGCAGATAACACAAAAATCAAAGAAGGTTCTAGAAACCAGACCCAGCAGAAAGAGGGGGAGCAAGAAAGTGGGAAGATATAGCATGGGGAGAGGCCCTTTCATGTCTGTGAGCTGTCACTCTGCTCTGTAAGAGAAAGATAGAACGGCAAAACAGAAGAAAACCACAGCAAGATACAGTTCACAGTGGACGGAGTCAAGAGCTTGGATGTGTGATGTCGTATTTGTGTTCATGAAGCTCTTTCAAACACTACACAACTGTTTTATGGCTATAAATGGTGTGTATTCTTAAGCAGTGTGTGTTCTTGTGCCTTTGGATTTTATTAACATAAAAAGGCGTACTTTGTGCCCTGGTTGTGCATGTGTGTTTATACTTGCCAGGAAAAGCTGTGTTTGGCACGCAAAAGCTTGTGTATTGTGTCTGTGCATGTCTTTGTAGTTGAACTTCTGTCTTGGCTCAGATAATCACTCTTATGTATGTTGTAGAGGAGCAGATATTGGCACTCACCCGCATCCACACAGCTCTGATCTCTCTCTCTCTTTTTCTCTATGTCTTCAGCTTTTTTACATAGATTATTGGGGCTTTGACATTCTACACATCAGTGCCACATCTGTATGAAAATACCAAAGGAAGTAGAGTGAAGTTCAATATGAAAATGAAAGATATATATATATATATTATTGAAATTGACAATGTGTACAAAGTACACAGGGGAGAGGAAATGGACTTGTGCCCTTTGTGTGTGCTCCACAGCTTAGCATATGTCTCCTTTGTGTGTGTGTGTGTTGTGGATGCAACATTTTGCCTTTATCATATAGAACAGGAATGTGAAAAAAGACTGAGAAAATGGGATATGAAAGGCTGGATTTGATCCTGCGTCCTTTTGAACATACTTGTATGTTATGAGCAAATGCACTACCCACTGTCCGTAGCTCCAATGAGGTCAGGGTTTTTTTTATTGGATGCTTAAGATTTATTTAGAGACAGTTATCCTCCAATTGCTACCAACAACACAAAAACCCAAACAATTCATTACATGCAGCCAGTGAGGATAACTTAACCTCAGTTCTGATACCATCAGGACACAAGAAGAGCTCCTTTCACAGGGAGAGGAATAGGATGAAGATAGAGTGAAAGAGAAGAAAAAGGAAAGGGTACCAGGAGCCTTCCTGTTACAACGTGATCAGGTTGATGGAGGTCAATGATAATGGCTGGAGACAGTTTGGGTTATATATATATTATTGAAATTGACAATGTGTACAAAGTACACAGGGGAGAGGAAATGGACTTGTGCCCTTTGTGTGTGCTCCACAGCTTAGCATATGTCTCCTTATATTGTATGCACTAAACCATAGACACATGAAAATTATTTAATCCTATTTTAATTTTAATTTGTTTTGAATTTTTACTATTTACATCAAGTGTAAATAGATCTGTCTCACACACTATATGCACCCCAGTATTCTGATAAATCCACATTAAAAAAATAAAAATAAATAAAACTATTTATTTACGTACTTACTACTTACTTACTTAATTGCTTGCTTTTTGGGAATTTATTTTTTTATTGTGTGTAGTTTCATTGCTATTTTTTGAGTAGATGACTTGAATTGAGTATTGAAACAGTATTATGCTTAATTTATGTAATACATTAAATTATATATTTCATATATATATATATATATATATAAGAAAAAGGAAAGGGTACCAGGAGCCTTCCTGTTACAACGTGATCAGGTTGATGGAGGTCAATGATAATGGCTGGAGACAGTTTGGGTTCATCCTTGCCTTTAAGGCCCACAGCACAGCGATTAACAGTCAAACGCATGCATGCTCAGCGGAATAATCTGAGAGCTGCTGCTGAATGATAAATACAGGTTGGGCTTCGGCTGAGCGAGCGGCAGGGTCAGACGCAACAGCAACGTTTAGATATTGTGTTAAAACTTGCTCTGTGAGACTGTCCTAATTCCAAAGAGCCTGACCTTCAGGCAATTATGAGAACGGTCATCGGCTACATTCAGACAGCAGCAGCAGTCAGCCGGCCCAGCCCGTTGGGAGAACTAAAATGAGTAATGAGTATGAAAGAAAATGACAGCCGCATTATTCCTCTTATATTCCACGACGTCACAAATATATTTTGAGAGTGAGTTCAGCTGATGTGTGCTGTATTAACAGAATGGCAACTGACAGTGTCATGTCATTGATATATGTATGAAATAGGTATGTGCTTCCTGGGTTACACTGTCGTGACAGTTGACGTGTTGTGTTGTGTCGCGCCGCACTGCGCTGCAACAGCTAAAGTCTGTCTACACTGAAAGCAACAAAGCGAGCGTTGCAGATCATTTGAACTTTGTGTCAGTACGTTATAAATAGATTGAGACATCACTTGCGCCGCATCCAGTGTAGATCTAAATGGAACTTTCGATGCAGCTTCTTTGTTTCCTCTGCCTTGGAAAGATAATTAATAATAATTAATAATTTATGCATTTTGCAGACGCTTTTATACAAAGCGACTTACAGTGCATTCAGGCTATACATTTTTTACCAGTAAGTAAAAAAAAGAAAAAAAAGAAAAAAAAAAGAAAGATGTTTATTGATACTGATTTTATTTGAATGGTAACAACCATACAGTGCCTTATTATTCTAACTGAATGTATTGATAAAAATGTAAGAATTTGACGTAAATGATGACACGTACATTTAATAAGGTTAGGAAAATATTGCCCTTCATAAAGTTAAAAAGTGTTCTAGAACTCAATTTAAGGCAAGCACGTCAAGACTTAATGTGGAGCCCTATACATATATATATATATATATATATATATATGCCATGCTGTGAATTTCATTTTCATTTACAACTTTCATTTCATCTTTTCTCTGTATATGCATTTGATGTTTGCTGCGAGTTTCAGATGACAATCCGACATTCAAAGTATGACAAACAAAGATATTTTCTAGATATGATCTATATTATCTATTATTACTATAATATTAAGATATTATCTTTATCTGTTAACATGGTTTCAGGCATTGCTCAAGGCTAGTTAGTGAAGGAGCATGACTTTGGTTAAGTGTTCATATATATATTATCTGTTCTGCAGTTGTTTACGTACAGGACGGTTAGTGAGTTACAACAGCTCGGTTGTCAGTCCCAAACACTGACGGAGGGTACAGTATGTAGTCAATGTGATGTGTGAGATAAAGAAGAATATGGCTGTTTTGTGCTGTTTTTAACTATTTTTATTATATTTTTGGTGTGCTCAAATGCACCACCTGTTAAACTGCAAATAGCTTTTGTGTTACAAGGGAGGTTATGTGACAGAGAATTGACCACGCCTCTTTCTTTTTTCTCCTTCCTCCCCTCCAGTTCCTTTATATCCCTCCATAGCAGCAGATGGTGAGGATCCGACTTCAGCAGGTGGGATATATCTACATATGGTAATTGTTGTGATCCCCTCATTTGGCTCCTGTATCTCTCTTTGTTGCACGTCCTTCTACTGTTGTCAGTTTCGGCATATGCGACCTTCCCTGCATGAAATTCACACGTCTATTTCAGAGCTCTTCCCTTACCTGTTTCTTCACACCTTCTCAAGATCTCTTCTGATGTCACATCATCCTTGCTGTGTTATTCTGTCTTCTCACCATGACGTTGATACATAGAGTATCTCGAAACCTGCTGCAGAAACCCCTCTGCTTATGATATATCACCCAGTCTCATTTCAAATGCTGCTATTCTGATCGCTCGCTCGCAATCGAATTTGGTTGCCGTCACTGTTGATATATTTTCTTGCTTTTTAAAAATGTTAATGCTTGTGCACATTTGGGACTGTGCATACACATTCGTACACACACACACACACACACACACACACACACATATTCCGGTAATATAAGGTGTTTGCTTTTCTCCACCTCCTCTCAACCTCCTTGGCTCCTCAGTATCCCACCCATTAATCCCTCTCATCTCACCTGGTCAGCACTTACTCTCAAGCCCACTGATCTCTGTGAGCGGAGCTGCTTTCAAGAGTGCTCAGACTCTTCTCTCATGCCTCGTTGTTTTATTGGGTTCCAAGCTTTCAATAAAAACGCTCCAGCCCTCCTGTCTTCACGTTCCTGGGTGTTCCTCTCACATTGTGAACAAGATGCCCATCTGTTGCTCTCTGTCACCATAGACAGTTTCAGATAGACTTTTGTGTAAATTTAGATTTTTATGAGGTAGATCATTAATCATGATTCAGATTCTCTTGGGCCACGTTCTCACAGCAGCAGAATATGGTTGTCAGTCCTGTATTTGAGTCCTTAATACAGTTACATTCACACACGGTTATTTAGGGGCATGACAACCGCATTCTGTAACCAAACTCACAACTGTAAATTTTCAGGACTCACAACCGCATTCTCAGAAACTGGACTGGAAAACTAGTTGTCTGTCACATCATACAGTGTGAGAAAGAGCCACTCTGCTGCACAAACGTGTTTCTACCGTGTATTGCGTGTTTTCATGGTTTCGGTAACTTACAGTGATGGAGAAATGAGCTTTGTGCCATCTGAAAGTTTTATATCCAGTCAGTTTGAAAGGGACTTCAGACTGTATTTTATCTGACAACAACAGTATAATACATTTTGTTTATTTAAAGAGTTAGTTCTCTCAAAAATTAAAATGATCATAATTTACTAATGCTGTTCCAAACCTGTATGATTTTTTTTCTTCTGTGGAACATTAGGTATCTTGTAAAAAAGTTTTAGTGTCTATATAATGGAAGAAAGTCAGTCATATAGGTTTGGAAAAACATCAGGGTGAGTAAAAGATGACAATTTTCATTTTAGTGTGCACTATTCCTTAAATTTAGTTTATTTAGCTTCTTCCTTTCAGTCTGATATAATCAAAAGCCGATGTGCTCTTGTAACTGAATGGCAGGACCTCCATTCCTGCAGCTTTATTTAGTGTTATGGTTTCTCCCATTCACATTTGTATGAGTAGGCCATCTTCTCTACCTCAACCAGACTCTGTGGTTACTTAAATGCTTTTCTCTAAGAACCACACTATGTATATTGCAGCTGTCATATCCTATCCAAGAAACTGTCATTTCATATTAGTTTAGCATCCAAAGTGGCTTTTTAAGCCTTTTTAGAATTTCAGATTAGTTCTGCTAACTCTTCAGCCAGCCGTGCTTTATGTTGATGCTACCAGCTTCATGCTACTGTATGTTCTATAGTTTACACTTACCAACATCTATTGGTTTCTCCAAGCAAGTTCTGATCTTTGATGTACATAAAAGCCTGTAAATGACACTGCTCACAATTAAATTATGCTGTCATCTTACTTAATTTTTTTTCTTTCATGCTGTGTATGCTGCTGTCCTAAATAAATTATTCTTAACCACAAGATGGTTTTAACCTTGCTTGCTTTGTTAAATCCAAAAACGTAATAGTTTAACAGTAGTTCGTTGTTGATCATTTCCATTTTATATTTTAGCATTTAGGAAAACATAAAATTGGGATATACTGTCCTAAATGATATGTTGTGGATAAAAAGAAGGCGTGCACCCAAAGAAAGATGTCTTCATCGAGAAAATAAGAATGCTTTATGAAATTGTTATTAATCTGATTTGCTTACATTTGTTTTGACAGATTTGAAGAATGTACATGCATCTTCATTTGACATGAGTCTCTGCATGTGGACCACAATCAGAAAAAACAATCCACAGAGCAGATGAACTTTAGATTGTTGTTTGGGATCGTTTGGATTGGTTTCGGATCTAAAGCTCACATATAATCTGGCATTATTTTGTATTATTTCATTTTCCATAATCCACAAGGGTTAGAGCAATGACCTCATTGGTTCTTCAGGCCTGAAGCATTTCAGCATTGAATTGAGATTTTAAACCTAGAATTATGACCTGTTGAAGCCAAAATGATACATTTCATGGGGATGGTAAGTACATGCAGTAGTGCTCCTGCTTGAGTGTGTGTGTATCATTATTGCATTCATTGGTATACATGTGGCGTGTGACACTTGAACCAGTGGCTCCTGCAGTATACTGTTCAAACAAGACCTCAGGCTGTCAGCTTAATATTATGTTACATGTTTGATATAAATATATAGATTAAACGAGACCAAAAGCGTAAAAAAGGTAATCATTTATTCCCCTAAATGCATTTATTCTTATTACAGCACCCTATTACACCCTATTATTCCTATTACAGCTATTTGTTTTTATTGTCTTGCCAAGTTTGTGAGAAAGAGGTAAATGGGAAGCAGATTTATTTTTGTACCACATGTCTTTTTTACTGTATGAACTCTGTTTGCAGTAAGGCAGATATCACAGATCATACTGGCGTATCTTTGTGTTTCAAAAGGAGCAAAAATGAAGCCGTATAAGCTCTTTAGACCGTATGTCTTACTGTACTTTAACACTGCAGAATGCGAGGGCTATGATTAACCAAATGAGAGGTGACACTCAGTATGAATAAAATTTCAGAATTTATAACACAATCTGAATATCAGCTCCTCTTAGTTTTGCCTTATTAGATCAGAACGGTTCTCTTGTATTTCTTAACTGCGTCACTGTGCTTTTCTCTGTTCTTTGTTCAATTATGATTTTGATATGTACATTTTATATGGAGATGGAGAATATTCATCGTAGCCCACTGGGCCCTTATTAGTGTAGTTGCTATGGAGGAGCGTGTTGCATGAATAATACACTTTCTTCTTCCTCCTGGGGAGTTTGAGTGATAAAGCAGTAGCGAACATTAGTATGCCTTAACTAAAGGTGGGACTGAGTTCACCGGCCAATATTATGACCCCTCCATCAGACACTGACATGCTAAAAGCCCTCTTTTCTAAATGCCCTGCTTTTGGCACGAGCACATTTTTTTGTAATCCGAGAAACATTATTTCAATATGCTGTGTTGTGCATTTCAACTTTGAAATGGAAAGAGGTGACTTCTGTTTTCATGCAGGTCCTGCTTTACCTGGTAATTGTTAGCATCAAATGGCTGGCAATAATTTGAAGGCTTTATTATAAACGTGGCCTTTTGAAAGGCTCAGCATGTTCAATCTCAGCATAAAGACATGTTCTGTAAGCAGGTTGCCAGCATAGCATTTGCCGTATGTTCTAAAAGAAAAAAAACATGTCTGGAAAACATTTGACACGTTAATCGGTCTTATGAAACATGCATAAACATTTCTACATTAAAATAAACACATTAGCTGGCTCTTTTATTTTCAATAATAAACATACACAGCAGGTAACTAATGAGGAAGGACTTTTACATTTACCTTTAATCTTAAAATGAGCCTTATTTGTGCTTGTGAGGAAAAAATAACTAACAAACTCATTATTTAACTTCTCAGTGTAATGAGCATTGCTTAATCTTATCTGTCTTGTTATATCTTCAGAAAAATTTACATACAGTACATACAGTATACTCACATAAATCAATATGTATTAAATAGCAAATTTTGACTGCACGATTGTGTATATCACCGCAAAATGTAAACTGTATTATTGCACAGCTCTCCATATAAAGTTAGATATGTATGATTTCCAAATGTATCTGTATATAGTACAGTGCACTCATGTAAATTGATATATACTATATTGCAAATCTCAGCTGCCTGATTTTTTTTTTTTTCATAAATTGAAACTATATTATTACCCAACTCTTCTGCATACATACAGACTGCTTGCGTAGGGCAACAGATAACTGCCTGATTGCTTTTATTGTTACAGAATGTAAACTATATTATTGGTAAGTTCTAATCTGCTAAACGCGACTGGCAGCCATATCACCCTGTAGCCCAAGACTGGTTACCCACTGAAGCTAAGCAGGGCTGAGCCTGGTCAGTACCTGGATGGGAGACCTCCTGGGAAAACTAGGTTGCTGCTGGAAGAGGTGTTAGTGAGGCCAGCAGGGGGTGCTCACCCTGTGGTCTGTGTGGGTCCTAACGCCCCAGTATAGTGACGGGGACACTATACTGTCAACAAGCACCGTCCTTCGGATGAGACGTTAAACCGAGGTCCTGACTCTCTGTGGTCATTAAAAATCCCAGAATGTCTTTCAAAAAGAGTAGAGGTGTGACCTCAGCATCCTGGCAAAATTTGCCCATTGGCCTCTGATCATCATGGCCTCCTAACAATCCCCATATCTACTGATTGGCTTCATCACTCTGTCTCCTCTCCACCAATAAGCTGGCGTGTGGTGGGTGTTCTGGTGCACTATGGCTGCCGTCGCATCATCCAGGTGGATGCTGCACACTGGTGGTGGATGAGGAGATACCCCCTGACAATGTAAAACGCTTTGAGTGCCTAGAAAAGCGCTATATAAATGTAATGAATTATTATTATTAATTATAAGGCATGAAGATATTATAAACAATAATATCATTATTTTCCGCAAAGCTGCTGTGAAACA